GAACCAATACTAGAACTGGGGAGGTGAAAAAGTGTGTACCAGCTCCTTCAGATTAATTTCCTATCACTGGTAGTAAGAGCCCAAGATGCAATTCTGCACCTTGCTAGGTATCTATCTTTAACCATGCAAATAATTTCATTAGTTTCAATTATTCAAAACATATGCAGGATCAGTCCCCATAAAATGTATTTGCATGTATTTGGTTGTATTTCAGCCTCAAGCAGTTTTTTGCTATATAGCACATGAAGGTGGTGAAGGGCTTTGTTTCTAATGCAATTTTGACTACCATTGTAGTAAGGACACACATTAGTATGGATTACATTAGATAGGATTTATCTGAAGATATATTTATATGGCAGCTGTACATGTAAGTGCTGTATGGATATGAAATGCCTCCACTAGTTTTTTGCTAGGTAGCAACTGAAGCATGGATTGGTACTTTTTCAGTGCATTGCTTTTTGCCACACATACTATTCACCACAGGAAAACTATTTCTGCCATAAAATTGCACCCGAATTTACAAAATTAATTAAAGATTAAAGCAGTTACCTTTTGGTGTGTTTTTAAACTAGAACGTCCATACAAGAAATCTATTGTTTAGAGCAAAAATGTAAACAAAAAGGGGGTGGGGGGGAAGGAGCAGTATATGCTCTAGCAAAGGAGCAATATCAATACAAAGGTTTGCAGAATATTACAGCTAATGTACATATTCTGTTCCCCCAATCCTCATAAATTGCTTAGAGGAAATAATACACAAAAAGCCCAATCCAGTTTCCCTAAACATTTAACCATTCTAAAGTAAAAAATGCAATCCATTAATTTCTTAGTTTTGTGTATATTCCATAAATATCTTTTCTATTCTATTGTAAATACATATTCTATGATTCTATGAATATGTTTTTTTACTTTCGTTATACATGTATTTGCTACTTATATAATTTACTTTTTCTCTGTAATTAACAGATGGAAATATTAGGAAGTAGAAAATTTACAGCAAGTTATTCCTTTTTTAGGGAATTACAGAATAACATAAACCCAAGACACCATCAAACTTACTTGTCTACACCACACATTTGAGAAACTGAAACTTTCTGAGTTATTCAGCTTGAGTTAGAGGCAGTTTAAGTCAGAATCTTCTGTAACATTCACAGTGGACTAAAGCCAAGCCAGTTACTGTGTTTCAGTTGATGAGTGATAACTTGCTGAACTGTGGTTATCTTAGGTATTTGTAATTATTTATTTATCCTTTAGTAATTTATCCAGATGTTGTTACAATCTCCAAAGGGTTCAAAATTTGGACATATATTAATGGTACTGCTGTAGACAGCCCAGTGATACCCATGGAGCTGCAAATAAGAGTTTTTCTAAAGGAGACTACAGAATAGACGCTAAGTTACCCAAGTTCTTCAACTTGTTTA